TTTATATATTCAAGCGTTGTACATACTACCTAGTCCTGATGACTGTCCGGAAATAACACATACTGACGTGTATTGATATTCCTTTACAGGCATGGGGGGCATGGGTGGACCCGGAATGGGCGGTGCTGGCGGTATCCCGGGAATGGGCGGGATGTCACCTGACGATATGCAAGCGATGATGGGTGGTATGGGTGGTCAAGGCAGCTCGAGAGGAGGTCGGGGGGGTGGCAGAAAGCGGTAGTTGATCCAGCTAATCAAATAAAGAATTTCTTGTGGAGAAATCAATCTTAGCCATTTTTTCGGGAAGTATGAGGGTGATTTTAACCTGTCTTCATACTAAAATTGCTTTGGTGTGTATCCACCGAGTTAGAGATTCAATCGAGACAATAGCTATGAGCCGAAGAGTTAAGGCAGGATAGTTTAGACTTGGTGTCCGAGGCTATGCATGGTTCTAAGCATAGTCGGGCTGACAGCTCAGCAGAATTGTACTCTGTGTTCTATGAATTTAACCTTTTTCGCGCGGAGGTATCTAGAACTTTCATATTCATGTTATGAACTATCAGATAGAAATGTCATGATACTGCATTAGCCAATTCTTAGATTACGCTTTTCCGCCCGAGAAATAGTAGCATTCAACACATATCTATGCCATTTTAGTATATTTCTCATAAATTATATAGAATTCCTTGCGTATTCCACAGATTGACGAGCGCTGGCATGCTAATAACAGCAAATTGTGCAGATGCACCATCAATTCCCAGGCTAGCCCAAGGATCAAAATTGCACACAGAGAGTTCTCGGTGTCATACTCGGAATATTGGCACAAAAGAGAGCTTCATATGGTAATTCCAAAATCGCTACCAACCGAATCTTCGCGTTAAAGCTCGCCCACAAGTGCGTTTGAGTCTCTCGCCTGCAAGTGCGTTTGAGTCTGGGTTATAGAAGTACACGCGATCCACCGCACCAGTACTGTAGATATCGATCGAGGTGACCATCGAATTATAGTTCTCGTACCTAATAGACCAGCATGGCGAACATTAAAGTGACGTTGAGTAACTCTGTATGTATTTACAATATTTAATAGTTTTTGAAGGCTTTTATTGGAAGTTTTATTTTGCTTGAGCGTGATGTGAACATTGCCCACTTTATTTATAGTGTTGCACAAGATCCGTCTCTCAGGTACGAATCTGCAGTTAGGATTTTAGTCAGAATCTTGAACGAGGACATATTCACCACAACTTGCACATATAATCTGAAATGTGAGATATCAAAGGTTACATCCAGGTAATAGTAATAAAAATCAATTTAATAGCCCATTAGAAATACAGTAAAAATACAGTAAAGAATTACATGGGCTGATCGTTTGACCTTTTGAGAGACGTGTTAGCAGTCGATTGCAT